ACCATTACCGCTAAGAAACGTCCTTGAAGATTCTGAATAGGAGTGAATTTACTTCGCATAGGTGGAGAAAGATTTGTGAGGCTTCTTTCCATGTATGGTTTTTTCAATATCAAATCATCTATTTTGATTGAATTTTCTTTGACCCTAGTAAACGTAGTAAATGAGGTGAAATAACCTCAAGAAATTATCCCTAGTGACGAGGGAATATGAAAAAAGAATAATAAAATAAAATCAATTTATTCTACATACCATTCCGTCATCTCTTTTACTTCCCTGAAAGGTGTATTTATGAAGAAAGTACTATGGACTTTTGTGGACAATTTCAAACCTGCGTACATGTGCAAACTAATACATATATATGTTGTATTATATGCTAATGTAAGGTAAAACATACCAACAACTAAACACATAACACATACCAAAGAAAGACGTAACTCTGAGACGTGTTGTAAAGATGACTGGTTTTTCTCTATATTCTCCGCTATTACTACACATTCTCTATCAACAAAGGAATTCTAAAGTGTAAGCATCATTGTTTTGAAATTTTTGTCTAGGAGCAATACATCCTGTACCCATGTTTGGTTGCCATCTTTTGAGTGAATCATTCGTTTAGGCATCATATCAATTGCAACCGTGAGTATATTTGAAAGTATAAATTTTAAAATCTCTCTACTTATTTTTTTAAATACACTAACTAATAAATAATTGAATAATTCAAGATAACATGATGAATAACAAAAAATATGTATTTCTTACTTATATCAGCATCTGTATCCATATACTCTTCTGCTTCATGAAAAGCTATCAGCTGATATGTTGAAAAAACAAATTCCAGATTATCTTCATTTAGTTCAACAAGACGAGTTTATCCAGATATAATCCAGTGATAAGATCCTATCGAATATTTGTAGTTTCCCGTGTTATTCTTCACATAAACTTTTGAAATGGCATATGTTTTCCCCAAAACAAGTTGATCCTCAAAAGCACTGATATTGGAATCATATAAGGTACCTTGGATAGTATTTCCCTGGAAAATGAAATTGAAAAATGATGAGAAATTTCTTAGTTATCTGATTATATATGAATGAGAAGTCTTAATAGTTTTAGTTTTGAAGTTGAAGCCATCTCTTATAATTAACAACAAGAAGAGTTACCTGAGTATCCATCAATACCAGATGTTGATATCTTCCATTGCCTTGTTTAGAAGGTTTTAGTGATTTTTTTTTGATAACAATGACTTTGACTTTCCACTTCTCGTTGTTTGAGACAATTTCTGGTATGAGTTTACATTCTTCTTCCATTTTATCTAATCTAAAATAAATAATATGTCAAATGTAGTTAGAGTACAACAGAGGAGGGGAGGATGGTAATCTTAGAAGGAAATGAAATGGTTTAAATAGATATAGTATAATTTGTCAATTTTTTTTTAAAAAAGAGATAAAATCAGTGAAGTATGGCTAAGTAAATCAGTTGATTGATTAAGCTGAATTTTTATTATCAAGTATATTATATAAAAGTACATTGCAGAATATAATGTATAGAAATGGATTAGTCTCTGTATGATGAAATGTGTAAAGCAATGGATTAGTTCCATACGATAAAATCTGTAAGGTATGAGATAGAAAAAAGATATGTGTACCAGTATGGAGAAGGTAGTATGGTGAAAGTATGACAAGCAAGTCACAATAGTAAACAATCAATAATAATTAATTATTTAGTAAAAAATAATTATGAATAAAAAAAGGGGAAAAATTTTCAAAAGAAAAGGGAAAAAAATTTGCTTTGCAAAAGTTGCCGAAATTGCTCCGCACTATTTGGAGCACTAAAAGGAAAAAAAATCACTCTCGTGCAAGAGAAATGAAATGGTTTAAAGTAAAAAAAAAAAAAAAAGATAAAATCGGTAAAGTATGGTAAGTTATATAAAAGTATCTTCTAGAGTATGACAAGTTATATATAAGTACATTCTAGAGTATAATGTATTTGGAATGGATTAGTCTAAAATTTATAAGTACATTTGAATATATTAGTTTACCATGTATGCATGTAAAATATAGAGGTATGGCGCATGACATAAACAATTAATAATAAATAATAATTTAGTAAATAATAAAATATTTTTTTTTACAATAATTCTTAGAATTTGTTTCCGAAAAAAAAAAAAAATCAAAAAAAAAAAAAAAAAAAAAAAACTCCGTTCAGTGCGGAGAACTTCTCCGAGCAATTTGTGCGGGGACTCCCCACACCATTTTGTGTGGGGACCCCCGCACTGTCCCCACACAAAATTGGCGCGGGGATCCTGCACGACTGTGTGGGGACTCCATGCACCAATTTGGACTCCCTGCACTCGGAACTTACTCTTTTTTTTTTTATTTTAAATTATAATTTTTTTATATAAATTGAAGACAAAGTCTGAGGAGCATATGCTCCGCACAGTGCATAGCAACTCCAACAAGTACTCCACACTGTGCAGAGTATTTTGCCCATTTTTCCCCCTTTTGTTTTGATTTAAATTTTTATTTACTAAATTATTAATTTTGAATTGTTTAATAATTGTTTTACTGATTAATCAAATAATTTGATTAATATATTAGCCAATTCTTTTCATCTTAATCAAAGTTGTTCATGTGGAGCATTCTAGATAATACTCCGCATTGTGTGAAGCATATGCATGTTGCTTTTTTTGGCAAATTACATTATTAATTATTAATTGTTTACTCTGTCAGTAAACAAACAATCAATTATCATATTAGACCATAAAAATTCAATTGGACAATTTTATTGTATAAGTAAACTATTCTTTTGTTAATTACGTAAAATTATACTTTTATTTCTTCTTAATCTCATTAGTCATTTTTTTTATTTCAACACTTTACATCTTCGTGATAAAATTCATTTTAACCAAATCTAGCAGTATGTGAAAAATAAGTCGTTTTGTCTAAAATTTGTCCACTGTGCAGATTGCTCCGCATAGTGCGAAGCAACTCCAACAAGTACTCCGCATTTTACTTTGCGGAGTATTTTCTTCCTTTTTTTTATTTAAATTTTTATTTACTAAATTATTAATTTTTAATTGTTTAGTAATTATTTTATTGATTAATCAAATAATTTGATTAATATGTTAGCCATTTTTTTGCTTAATCATAGCAAAGTTGTCCGCACTTAACCAAAAGTGGTAAAGTTACTCCGCACACTGGCAGCATATCTGCGTGTTATTTTTTTTGGCACTTTAAATTATTAATTATTAATTGTATGAAACCAATTGGATAGTTTTATTGTATAACTAAACTATTCTTTTGTTAATTACATAAAATTATACTTTTATTTCTTTTTAATCTTATTAGTCATTTTTTATTTTATTTCAACAGTTTACATCTTAGTATAAAATTCATTTTTAACCAAATCTCGCAGTATCTAAAAAATAATCTCGGGGTCTGAACTACTTTGTCCATTTCTTATTTTGTCTATTTCAATATTCCTACCCGTGAAATTGTTGTCAAATCTTTTCTCAAAAAAGGACAAAAATGACAAGTATTGTTTAGTTTAAATAGTTTCTTATACCACTTCTTTATACTTAACCAATTTACATATATCTTTATCTTTACCTATCAAGCTTTCCTAAAAAAATCAGGTTTAATGTAGTATTTTTTTTTTTTTTTGATTCTTTTACTACAAATGTTTCAAAATAAATTCTTAGTTTTAAATGATACATAATTTTCAATCTTTAATTGTGTTAAAAATCATACATACTGCAGTTCAGCAACACAAAAATGGATGTACCACATAACTTCTTCAAAATTATCGACGTTTCACTAATCATAACATTCATTTGGTAAGTTATATAAAATATAATATCTTCTTTCATTTCATATTTGTATGAATGTTTTATCTACTGCCTATATTTTTTTCATATATTGTAGATGCTTCCTACAGCTTTTGTCAATTGTTGGAGACAAGAATTAGGTGATAAAGTACGATTAACTTCGTATGATGGTATAATTGTAACAATACAATTACAAACAATTGATGGAGAAATATATTTGACTAATGGATGGGAGCAATTTTTTGACCATCATAACTTACAGGATGGTTTTGTTGTAGTATTTGAATATGATAGAAATTCAACGTTCAATATGAGGATATTTGATCATTCTAGATCAGAGATTACATATGGTTCTGATGTTGACGAAGATGAGGCTTTACATCTAGATAATCCTGCATTCGAAGTAACACTAACGCTAAATCAGAACAACCATCGAGAAATTGTAGGCTGTCTTTAATATATCATTCTATATTTACCTTTTTCAGATTATTTTAATCTTAACATCATCCATATTTTTCTGAAGTCTATACCAGGAAGGTTTCCAAGACACCATCTACCGAGATATGTGCGGAATGTTCACCTTCATGATTCTTTACATCACAACTGGGATATCACTGCAAATTCAAGACCAAATAGTGTGATACGTCGACTTACTGTAGGCTGGGCCAATTTTTTGACAGAGAAGGAGCTAGAAATTGGAGATACATGTGTAATTGAATTATTAAATAACGAATCTCCAATGTTCATGGTTTACAAAAAAAAAATCACAACAATAGAACTCTAACTCGTCTGTGAAACTTTGTACACCAGTAATGTTTAATATTTATGTTTATCCATTTCACTTTTTCAGTAATTATCTTAAACAATTGCATACAGATTTTAAATTACACTTTTTCCCTTCTTTACAATTAAAAAATACTACAGTCTTTTTAACTAAAACATAACATTCTCTTATATATTATATATTAATACATATATGGTTACATCAACACACATATATACATAGATTCACTTTCAAGAAGATGTTTTCAAGTAGAATCAGTCTGTGTTTTGTAATAATATCACTTACCATAGGAATATATTTACATAGGAATATAATTATGGAATGGTAAAATGATTAAGTTATTTTAACTTACAGAAGTGGTTTCCACAAACGGTTTTGTCATTTCTATCTAAACTTCTAAATATCAACTTCACCAATTGTATTCGTACTAACCATCACGCAATATTTGACAGCTACACAGCCTAATATGAATAACAAATGATGATTAGTAAACAAAAAAGTAATACAGTGAAAAAAGTTATGTGTAATCAATATTTATATTCAGAAAATATATTTCTGGAAAGAATAACTTCAGAAATCCTTTTTGCAAAGATAAAATTTTGCTAAATCAATATTTCATCATGACAATCAGAAGTCATAAGTTTAGATTTGTTATTAATTTTGTGTTTGTAAAAACAAATATAATCAATAAAGAATTATAACAAACAATTAAGCATATACCTGAAAATTTAATATTTACTGTGAACTAATTCAAGATTTCATGATAGACAACATTTTTTGTACAACAATTATGTGATTTTGTTTTTGACAAAAGGTTTAATACGAACTTTTATATTTTCTCTTGTTTTGACTCAGGACAATGCGACATACAATTGACCATGGGAAAATACAGGTTCTGGAAGATATAAGCCAACAAAATCTAGAGTTTGACCTTGAGATTTGTTAATGGTCATTGCAAAACATGAACGAATTGGAAATTGAGTTTTTTTAAATGGTACAGACTGTTTATCGCCTTCAAGAGGAATAAATGAAATTCTAGGTAAAAATACTTGCTTTCCACGATATTCTCCTATTCCAATTTCAGCCAAGATAACATTCTGCTTAAAGTCACGACAAATAAATCTAATTTCATTGCATAAATCTTCTGCAGGATTGATATTTCTCAGCAACATAACTGGACAATTTTTTTTCAATATGAGTTTATGTGGAGGTATACCGTTTGGAGTTAGACTATTCAAAAAATTTTCAGCAATAAAACCTTCATTTTTATCAATCACTTTATCAAAACTAAAATATGTAATTTTCTCTCCCGGAATTTCTTTAAGCAACATATTGTTTATTAAATCTACATATTCATTTTTTGGGGTTAAAATAATACTATTCATCATAATATGTAGGTTGTTTTCATATGTCTGGAAATTGGGAAACACAATGTCAATTAATTCATTCAATGATTTAAATTCATCTTCGAAATGGATGGTAATATCTTCAGGAAGTGTAATCATTTGGCATGAATGTGTTTTCTCTATTCCATTCCCAAATTTCAGCGAATATTCACAAAATGAAGGATCTAATTTAGCTCTCATATTTTCGGTTAATGCTAGTTGTGTAAAAGAAGGCCATAAATGCGAAAAAACTAAACTTTGCCTTCATTATATCATCTTTTGTTCCTCTTTGTACTACTAGTAAAACTTGTCGAAAATCTCCTCCATACCCAATGACTTTTTCACCAAATGGTAATTAACATTCAGTAATGTCTCTCACATTTTATCTAAAGCCTCAAAAGCATATTTATGAACCATTGGTGTTTAATTCCAGATTATTAGCCTAGACAATGCTAAAAGTTTACCAAGCGCAGACTGTTTACTCACCGAATAGCGCATATCACAACTTACTTCAAGTGAAATTATGAATCTTGAAGGTCCCGTTCTACCAACTGGTAATAGAGATGCAGCCACACCTGATGATGCCGTTGCTAGTGCGATAAGATTTCGAGATCGTACACAAAAAAATAATGCCTTATACAAATATGTTTTTCCAGTGCCTCCAAGACCATCAATAAAAAAACATTCAATTCTTATCATTTAAAACACAATCTAAAATAATATCATAGGCATTTTGTTGTTCTTTATTTAAACTCTCACTATAATGTATGTGTGATTGAAAATTAATATTAGTTGTTTCTTTGGCAATTATGGTTTCAAAGATATCATCATCATTCATAGTTAAATCAAAATCTACCAAACAAAAATCAATTATATTCTTACCAACACCTTCTAAGAAAGAGTTTATACAGTGTAAAGCTTTCATTTCAGCACTTTGTTGTGTGAAACATTTATGTAAATAATTTTCTATCATGAAATTCTTAAATTGATCCCATAAATTTCTTCAATTTGTAGGGCAAAATAAACTCAATAGATTGGGAAATAGTCTCGCAGTGATATAGGCATTTAGTAAGCAACTACCTCAGATAAACACATCTCATAATAGTTATCTCCACTAAGGAGACCATGAGAAAGTGCTGCTTCACAATAGGTAGATAAAACAATACCATTGACTATTTTTAAATCTTCAAAAAATTTTGGCCCTCTAATATGATTTAGCAAAACTCATAAAAAATATCTTTCACCTTCACATGGATTAGCACTGACTATTCTACCAATAACATTTTTACTTTTTCTAGGAGTCCAAATTCGCATGGATGTATCACATACGAAATAGGTTGAAAAATCTTTATACAGTAGAGTTTTTGCCTTTTCATTTGAAATATTGATTGTAAAAAATTTTGTTAACATTGTTCAGTGAACAAAATCTTTATTTATAACCTTTGATAAATCATTTGTCTCCTTGTATGTAACCATTTGAGCATCTTTAGTATGTAACTGTAAAGAGATTACTGTAGGAGATTTATCTAATAAATCAAAACTAAATATCCTCTACATAGTTTCAGGTGGAGATATCCATCTAACTGTTTGGTAGTTTGAAATCTCATCAATGAATTCTTCGTTTGTTTCTTTATTTAAAGTAAAATAAATACGATCATGTTCCTTATATACGTGTTTGTATAGATATTTAACATCTTTAACAGAAGAACACACCTCCACATTAATGTGACAATCATATTTAGCTAAAATGTAAGGATTATACGATACAACCCATATATTATCCAACATACACCATCTTATTTTAACACTTACACCATCATTGCGACGCTCGTAAAGTGGGTAGGAATCATTACCCAAAGAAGTATTTTCAACGTAATCTCTCGGATATTTATTTTTACACACAAAATTCTTTTCCATACAAACATTCTTAGGATTCAAATTCTCACAAGGACCATGCATCATATGTTTTACAACAGTAACACGTAGGTAAGGGTAATTTTTCTTGTCTGGTATTTCTGATGAGACAATTTCATCGACTTGTATAGAGTTTCGGATCTTAGAATTTCGTTTAAACATAAGGAGAAAATGAGCGTGAGGTAATCCTCTTTTCTGAAATTCAATAACATAAACATATGCAGCAATAGGACCCAACAACTTTCTCTTAACCAAATCTGTCTTCAATTCCTCAAACTTGGCACGAAATATCCGTACTAATAAATCTGGCCTATTCTGTATTTCATCACTATGTTTCAATTCACATTTTATTTCAGGCCAATTTGGATTACATGTCATTGTCAAAAACACATCTGGTTTGTCATATCTCTGAACTAAAGACATTGCATCCATATATCTTTTAGTCATGTTCCTAGGACTTCCAATAAAACCAGAAGGCAACACTAATGATTTACCAATTTTATAACCTCTATTCTCACCATTTTGTACACTAACCACAATTCCCCAATATAATTCGGCTCTTATAATCTTTTGTTTATTACGAAAGTACTCTAATCTTGTTATTTCAATTTTCACGTACATATCCACAACATATTACTGTAAAAGTCTGTCAGCATGTGAAAGAATACAATTATTTACACACCTGATTTGAAGCTTGTAACAATAATATTCTCGACATAATACAGTTATTCGTTTTTTCTTTGCCTTCAAAACTATAAGAAGGAAAAAAATTATATCAACAAAAACTTCATTCACTAAATGCAATGAATTACATAAATAAAATAGTTTAAAAAATAGAAATTACTAAAATCGTTTACCATAGTCTTCTACTTCCGATAATTGACCTGCAGAATGGACATGATTAACTTCTAGTAAATTCTGACAAATCCTAGCTTGTGAAACACTTATATTCACCTTTTCAATACCTTCATGCTATCCAGGTTCTCCATACGGAAAAAGTAGCGGATATTAGAGAGGATCATAACAACCATAATAGTATTGAACTTTATATGCATTACCTGAATGCTCATAAATTAATAAATCCCAATCTCTAGTATTTGTAGATGATGGGTCATCGTCAACCCAAACTACAACTACTTGTTCTGATATTGGCAAGTTATATACTCTTTGATCAACAACAGGATTAGACTTTAGTAAAATACAACATGATTCTAAATCACTAACTTCACTTAATGATCGAAAAAACTTTGAATAGGAATTTTTGTTGAGAACATCTATCAACTTTCTTATAGTAAACTCACAAAACTTATTAAAAGTATTCAGTCTATTACAAATTTCATTTTCAGTATTATAGAAGTATAACTGTAAATAAGTTGAATTCTCATTCTTTGGCACAAGCGAGTTTATGAAATGATATACTTGTCATTGAACTCTAAAAGTATATATACATTTATTATTCTTACACAATTTTTTGTCATGCTTAACACCAAATGAAGTAAACACAAAATGATTGTTAAAACTACGAATAACCTTTCTAAAAGCTACAATCTCTTCAGATGTGGAAGTAAATAAATCATACATTTCAGGAGGTATATCATGTAACTGTAATTTGATCTCTCCGTCACAACAACAAAAGCCTTTGCTTTCTTTATAGAATTTTGTAGCACCACAATAACCACAAATTTTAAAAGATGGCAAAACATAAGGTTCATCAGGAATACTTCATTTACAAATTTTTTCTGCATATTCAACACTCACGTTCACGTCGCCTGATTCTCCTCCTCCTAATTCAAAACGTTGATTAGCATCACCTACAAGAAAAAATTCGAAACAAAAAGGAAATTGTAAGAAAAAAAGCATTCCATATAAATAAACTAAACATAAACATAATTATATATAAAAAATGACCAAACAAGAGCTATTTAAAAAAAAAAACTCCAAAAGGTCAAATAGATAATTGTTCTTTGCGAAAGGAGGAGTTTTCGCTAGTAAACAAATAAAACAAATAAAGCATAACAAGATGATAAACTAAAACTATACAAAGGCAAACACTAACAACTTTTTTATAAAGATGTAGAAGTAAATCATACTAAAAACCTTTCCATCATAACGACAAAATCCTCTGCTATAGACTTTTGTAGCGCAAAACATAAGTATTTCCTTATTCAACACTCACACTCTCCCTTATTCAAAATGTTGATTAGCATCATGAAAGGAAGAGAATTAAAAAAATAAGGAAATTATAACGAAATATATAGAGAAAACTATATTATATAAAAAAAGACCGCTAAAAAAAATAAAAAAATTATCCAAATAGTTCGTAGTGATGAATTCATCTCTTCTAAGTGTGTGGAGAGATCACTCTTCCTCCGCACTCTCCACACAGTCTCCGTACAGTACGGAGAGTCTTCGAAAAATTTTTCTACAATAAACTAAAAATTTCTACAGTAAACTAAAAACACATCTCTGCGGAAGAACAAAAAACTATACTAATAACTTTTTTTACTAAAAACATTTCCATTACAACAAAATCATATGCTTTTGTCTAATTTTTTGTAACAGGAGAATTAGAAGATGGCAAAACATAAGTATTTACTTTAACAATTTTTTCTGTACTCACACATATTCCCTTATTCCTTGATTGAAAATGTTGATTAGTAAGAAATTTGAAAAAAACAGGAAATTATAACAAAAAAAAGCATTTGAAAAACTATATTATATAAAAAAACACTACCAAAGAAAAAAAAATATCTTCGAAGAGTTTGCAGAAATGAATTCATCTCTGCGAATTGTGCAGAGAGATCACTCTTTCTCCGCACTCTCCGTATACACTCCGCACGGTGCGGAATTCAAAAAATTTTCTCTGACAATAACAATAACAGATTAAACTAAAAACTGAACATAATTATTATATAAAAAAACAACTACAAAATTAGTTTGTTCAAACTGCCAAAAAAAATTAGTAAGTTGAACTCTCGGCACCTCATTTTTTTTTGACAAAATCTAATCAAAACAAATACAAGCACCCAAAGAAGTATAAACACTACTAAATACAACTTGTTAAGCTGAAGGTTCGTAAACGTCGATCTGCAGAACAAGATTGCACTTTATGCATCAGATTTTTGAGTTGAGGATTCTCAATGCACGTGTGTTTTCTCTTTCTTTCACAAGTTCGTCTATTCTTAAACCAATCACCAACATTTTCTTTTCAGAAATAACATGATTGTGTAAGGATAAGGTGGAGACCATATGTAGAATTTCTACATTATTTGGACTTTTATTTCCTCCATCAAATATGGATCGAAGAGAATCAACCTCTGTACATGTAGGTATCCAACGTTGTTGTTTTTCCATACCTACAGCAAGCTTAAAAGCCAAGAAAAAAAGAGAGAATCAAAGATGAAGTGAGAATATGTGATCCAACAAGAAGAGATTTCACGAAAAAGTAGGAATGAAAATATCAATAAAAAGAATAAAAAGAAAAATAAGGAGTATGGTGGTGGGGTACAATTAGCATGGTTGTTATCATGGTCGAAGCAAAGAATTTTTTTTTATTCACAACAAAAAAAAAAGAGGGAAAAGAGCGTGAACAGTAAAATGGGATTGGTTTACTGTTGTGTCTACAGTGCCATCTCATTCACGTTTTTAATATAAGTTAGATATATATA